CGACCCGCGGCCTCCCCCGCCGACCTTGGGCGGTCGTGGACCGGGCCAGGGTCTCCCTGCAGGATCGCGGTCGGCACCAGTCAGGACAGCGGTCTGTCAGGGCCAGGGAGTCCGAGAGATGGAGCCTGCATCAGCGCAGCCGGGAGGCTGAGGGAGGGGACTCGGGGTCCTAGGTCTCGGCTGAGGCCGCAGGGAGGCTTAGCAGGCCTGACGTGTGTTTCTGGCGTTTGCACTTGATTGCGTTTGAAGTTGATGCTTGGGTTCACTGTCAGTGTCAGGGTATGGGGGACTCAGCTGGACCCTTGTCCAGAGTCGGAAAGCGGATCCGGGATCTAAGGCCCTGCTTGTGCTTGAGTGGGGGTGGGAGCTTCTGTGGGATGGCTACACTTGTTCTGGTATTACCTCTTTTCTAGTGCTTTTTCTTTTAAAATGTTCTTTCTTAGGAAATTACAGTAACACCTACAGTTTGTATTTATTTGATGAAAAACTATCTCAGCCCTTTTACTAGTTATGAGAACTGAAATGACATAATTAGACTAATGCTTTTATGTCACGTAAAGGAAAATGGGACTCAAGGTCATAGCTTTAGTTGGTAAACATCTTTTTTGACTCTACCCCATCATTCAGAGGATCTTAGACCCAGCAGTACTGGTAGTAGTAATTCAAGTAGTGTATCTTTGCAGTTCAGAGGGCTTACAGGTGCAGGAGGACTTTTGGGGTGGAGCATGTAGAAGTTAAACCTCCTACAAAGAAGGTCTGCACTGTGTTGTGGAGTGATTTGGCTGGGTACAGTGGTCTGAATGAAGGTGAATGAAGCAATCTGAACTTGATCCAGGCCTGCAGGCGCCAGCCAGATCATGGGCAATTTCCACCTGCCTAATGCCTTTCTAGGCTTGAGGACCAGCGGGCACTTCTGGGAGCCGGCCTTTTCATTGCCAGCAGAGTATCTAGCACTTTGAGCTCATAAGGAGAATAAACAGTGACCCATCCTGGAAAGGCCAGGTTGATGGACCCAGAGGTTCAAGGTCCCTCTTCATTCTTGCGCTGCCTGTTAGGAAAGTGTAAGACAGGGCCTCTTGGAAGCACCATGAAAATGTTTGAGCCTTTGGGGGGCTTCCATTAGGCTTGTAAGAAGTCTTAGCACATTTCGTGTCTAAGCACACTGCTTTGTAGACATGAGTCAGAGGAGGACCTCCTGTTGGATCAATAATTCTGTGGGCCAGTAATGCCTGAACCACGGTCTGTCTTTATAGTGGGTGGTATTTAATGTTTGTCGTTCTGGTTGTTGTGAGTGACCCAGTGAAGTTAGGGTGTATAGTAATTTGTAATTTCCTAAGGGGAGTCTATTAATAAAACCGAGATCACAAAACTTTTAATAGACTTAAAAACTGTGCTTGGTTTGATATGCATACACTTATTGACTGCAGTTCATATCTGTAGATTTCACATCCAAGCATCCTCTTTAATAGGCATCTCTGGTAGGTGAGAGGTTGACTCCTGGGAGTCCTGACCTGTCACTCAGCTAGCTGCCTGTAATGTTTTTGTTTGTAAGCTGGGGTCTGGCTAATATAGCCTTGGCTGGTCTGGGGCCCCAAGCTTACAGAGATTTCCCTGCCTCCAACTGTTACCGTTAAATCTCCTTACCACATTAGATGTTTTAGACAGCAAATGCAGAGCAATACATGGCAGAGATGGAAGAAGCTAGCCATGGAGGGGGCAGTCTCTAAATATGTGGGGACCATGGGCTCTTTGCCTGCCACTGAAAGGCATTTCCAGTCAGCATCATCACAGCTCTGTAGAATCTTTGTAACAGCAGTGTAGAGGGGGAGAGGGACAGGAGACACGACACAGATCTCACCCATCTGCTACCATCTTGCCCATTTCTGGACTGTTCTCACTCCTATTACTAATCAGCTGGCTAGGGTTCTTTTGCTCTACTTGAATAGGAATCATAGGCAATGACTAGAATCTCTTCAAGGGCTAGTCTTTGGCAACTTTGATTTCTCTCTGTTTGGTCAGAGCAAATGACAGCAGTTATGACAGAGGGAGCAGCAGCAGGTAGTACCTTCTCATGTTAGAGCCCTGGGCAAGCTTTAAGTGTTGGCACCCTTATTCCCACAAGGTTATGATATGTAGGCTTCAGAAATTAGGGTTCATGGTGCTTAAATCCACTTAGGCCTAGGTTTTGATATCATTGCCCCTAAAGACAGTTCTCTGGAACTCTGCTGGTATCCAGAGCCTGCTGTTTTTTCCCTGCCTTTTTTTTTTTTTTTTTTTTTTTTTTTTTTTTTTTTTTTTC